AGATGAATAGAAATATTAAATTTGGTATAAATAAATTTCTAATATATTTTTACACAAATTTCGATTGTCTGATGGCGTTCGGGTGGACCTGCTACTACTTAAAAATTGAAATAAAATTTTCTATTCTTCAGGATTAAGTAGGGCTCGGTCCCTACTAGAAATCAGGTGATTTACAGATGATTAGAAATATTAAATTTAAAAGAAATAAATTTTTATTGTATTTTTACACAAATTTCGATTGTCTGATAGCGTTCGGGTGGTGGTGCTACTACTTAAAAATTGAAATAAAATTCTATATTTTTCAGGATTGAGTAGGGCTCGGTCAATACTAGAAATCAGGTGATTTTCAGATGATTAGAAATATTAAATTTTCTAAGAAATAAATTTTTAATGTATTTTTACACAAATTTCGATTGTCTGATAGCGTTCGGGTGGTGGTGCTACTACTTAAAAATTGAAATAAAATTCTATATTTTTCAGGATTGAGTAGGGCTTGGTCCCTACTAGAAATCAGGTGATTTTCAGATGATTAGAAATATTAAATTTGGAAGAAATAAATTTTTATTGTATTTTTACACAAATTTCGATTGTCTGATAGCGTTCGGGTGGTGGTGCTACTACTTAAAAATTGAAATAAAATTCTATATTCTTCAGGATTGAATAGGGCTCGGTCCCTACTAGAAATCAGGTGATTTTCAGATGATTAGAAATATTAAATTTTCTAAGAAATAAATTTTTAATGTATTTTTACACAAATTTCGATTGTCTGATAGCGTTCGGGTGGACCTGCTACTACTTAAAAATTGAAATAAAATTCTATATTTTTCAGGATTGAGTAGGGCTTGGTCCCTACTAGAAATCAGGTGATTTTCAGATGATTAGAAATATTAAATTTGGAAGAAATAAATTTTTAATGTATTTTTACACAAATTTCGATTGTCTGATAGCGTTCGGGTGGTGGTGCTACTACTTAAAAATTGAAATAAAATTTTCTATTCTTCAGGATTGAGTAGGGCTCGGTCCCTACTAGAAATCAGGTGATTTACAGATGATTAGAAATATTAAATTTGGAAGAAAAAAATTTTTAATATATTTTTACACAAATTTCGATTGTCTGATAGCGTTCGGGTGGTGGTGCTACTACTTAAAAATTGAAATAAAATTCTATATTCTTCAGGATTAAGTAGGGCTCGGTCCCTACTAGAAATCAGGTGATTTTCAGATGAATAGAAATAATAAATTTGGTATAAATAAATTTCCAATATATTTTTACACAAATTTCGATTGTCTGATAGCGTTCGGGTGGTGGTGCTACTACTTAAACAAGTTGTTCATTTCATGATCATTAAGCTTCCTCAATATATATTATTATATATAATTTTAAAAGTTAAATAATTATAATAGTTTATTAAATATAATTAATAAATCGCATTAGCTATATTTCTCGTGTGATCTACGCGTAAAAATACACGTGTGCCAATTTTTAACTCTCTAGGTAAAAAAATGTGAACGTTATGGTCATTTTCATAATAGTTTTAATAGAAAGTTTCTACCGGGTAAAGTACCCTGAAAAAAAATTAATTATTCAATTTTTTTATTATAGAATAATTATTTTAAAGTATTAAAATAAAATTTTAAAAAATACAAAATTTCAATTTTTTTATGAAAATCTAAAATATTTATTAATTCTATAAATATTGATAAATTATATACTTTATATACATGAATCGATTCGTTTTTATGTCAGGAATGCAATTTTGACAAGAATTAATAAAAATTTTAATATAGAAAAAAGTTATTTTATAAAATCCAAAAATTTATTTTTTCAAAAATTAAAAAATTGTTGAAAATTTTTTTTTTTTAGATATTTTTGAAAATCCTTCTGTCTGATTTTTAGTATTCATGACCGTAATACACCTACAAAATTTTATCAAAATCCGTCAAGACGTGTAAGAGAAAATTTGTCCACAAGAATCGGTGACATACACACACACACACACACACACATACATACATACACACATACATCCGGACATTTGTTCCTCTCGACGAATTATATATACTACACTTGAAAATTTGTAAAAATAATTGATTCTAAAAAATTCGGAAATCGTCATCACTTTTTTTAATTTATGAAAATAATTGAATTTTTGTGAAAATTTTTTTTAATTTATGAAAATAATTGAATTTTTTGTGAAGATTTTTTTTATTTATGAAAATATTTCAATTTTTATGAAGATTTGTTTTATTTATGTAATTTCTGAAAATAATTAAATTAATCGAGCAGTTAAATAGGAATTATATTGAAAAAAATAACTGGATTTTAGTAAAGAATTTTATCAAAATTGTTGAGAAAATAATTGTATTTCTTGGAATAATTGTTTTAAAAATTTTTCTAGATTTTTTTTATTTATGAAAATATTTGAATTTTTATGAAGAATTTTATTATTTATGTAAATAATTGAACTTTTGTGAATAGAATTTTATTTATGTAAATAAATGGGTTTTTTTCTTGGATTTTTCGGTCTGGTTTTTTTGGATTGTATTTTTTGTCTGTAATAAATATTAAAAATTAGAAGAAATAAATTAATGATTTTTTGCACAACATTTTGATTGTCTAATAAAATACGGGTGTCAGATAAAAAAATGAATATAATTGAATGATATAAATTTAATGTGTTGTTGTTCAGCTACATTCTAGCAACAGTTCGTTTATTAGTAGGATGTTTTAAGATTAAAATTTTTATACTTTATTTCTCTGAAAATATTTATTGAATAATTTGCTCATTTTTGAACGTTCAGAACTTTTTGAAAAATAAAATAAAGAAAATGGTAAAATTGAATAAGTTTTTGAGGTGCTTTTAATGTGTAAAGTGAATGAATAAGGCTTTTGAGTTGACCTGTTTTCTCTCCTAAATTCCACACACATATGGTGATAACTGATAAGTGTATTACTATTTCTATGCATGTATTTGGTCAAGCGACTAATGAAAATGCATCTATACCGGAGAATTTATATAGAGCAAATCCCAGAAGGGTTATTCATTCACTGTTTTATTAGCCGAAAAAAAAAATTTTCAATGTAAGTGGGTTTTCCTCTTATTTCGCTGCAATTTTTTTCCTCTTTTAATTGGTCACTAAAGTATTCCAGTCTAATTGAGAGAATTTTCTTCGCTTTTTTTTTATTCCCTAGCAATTAGAAACGGAAAAATTTTAAATTATACTTGAATTAATCTTGTGTTTATAAAAATCCACTTTATTGACTCTTTCGAATAAAGAAGAGGGGTTTTTACTCAATTTCTTTTTAAAAAAAATTTAATAATTATTATTGTGAAAATTTTTAAGTATAATTTTGAATTTCGCGCTATTTTTTTCGAATTGTTCGATAGATGGCAAAGAGAGTTTTTTTTTCTCGCAGACAAGGCAGAATGGATGAGTTACGGTGGCTCATTGAGATTCTTCAGTTGAGACTCTATTTTTAAGAGGGTAAATTATATTTATGAGGGAGGAGAGGTGAGAGGGAGGAGAATTGTGCGCCTTGTCAATTTTTTTTTTTTATGAAAGCTTTTTAAAGATCAATGGTGTTATCGATTCGAGACAAATTATCCGGTTACATACAATTGCTTTGCCAGCAAAAGCCCTCTCACGATTTGTTTGAAAGGAAAAAGTGTAAGACTTGTGCTCCCATTTTAAAAGTCAAGACGTATATGTTACTTAATGGTCCTTTTGGAATTACTAATGGGCGTTCTTGGAAGCATTTATATATACTCTCTCATGACTTATGGTTTTTTATCTTGACTTTTCTATTCGCCATTTCAGCATTATTGTTTTTCTTTTTTATTGCCCGTTTAAGAAAATATTCTCTTTTCGATCATAAAAAAAAGGAAAATTGAAAATAATTTTATTCGATTGATAAATTAAAAAGAATATCAAAAGCAATAATAATTATACAACAACAATTATAAACAATAATAATAATAATAATAATAATAATAATAATAATAATAATAATAATAATAATAATAAAAATAATAATAATAATAACTTAAAATTATAATACGAATTATGGTTTTTCTAAGGATATCAAATCCAGACAAAAAACGAATCAAAATGTTGCGTCGCAACACTTTTGCTTCGTTTTTTGTCTGAATTTGATATTCTTAGAAAAACTGTGAAAAATGTATGTATACAAATCACTTTTTACAAATAAATAAAAAATTTTTGTATATTGATATTATTGCTTATTGTAGAGGAAAATTTTTATCTAGTAAATTGCTTTTGTAGAGGTAAAAAAAAATGGTCAAAGAATATGATAATATTTTATGAAAAATCAATGAAAAATAATATTCTCAAATAGTAGGGAAGTACTAAGGAGAAGTGCATTTATATTTGGATGATAATAATGCACTCTCTATAGTTGAGACTCTAAATTGTTGTCGACATTCAAGCAGAGATCAGAAATATATATATACATATATATTTTTGCGTATTGAAATTTTCAGTTTGTCGTCGACCTAGATTGACTTCTCTCTCTTTCAACAGCAAGATTACTATTCTTGAAAATTCATGAGAAATGTATTTTTAAAGGCAAAAAAAAAAAGGAAAAAATAATACATTTGCTTTTCGCATATAAATATTTAATTCTTTTCACTGAAAAAATTAGTCGTTTTTATCCATTTTTGTAAAAGAACTTATAAAATGATAAAAATAATTATTATTGTTATTATTTTCGTATTCTAATTTTTTATTATTAAATAATAATAGTAATAGAAATATTTTATATTAATAATAATATAAATTCCTAACTTCTTTCATATTTGAAATAAAAATATTAATATTATTATAATAATAAAAACAACAACAATAATAATAACAATAATACTAATTATAAAAAATATAAAAATATTAATACTAAAATAATAATAATAATAATAATAATAATAATAATAATAATAATAATAATAATGTTAGGGAAAGTAATTGTAAAGGGAATTAAGTTGTCAGTTGATTTTAGGATCAATAAAGTTGTTTGTTTTTTGGAGAGCTGTTTCCTGTTGGCAATTTTTTATCGAGTCTTTGGTCCTCACCTCAGCATCCGAGGCAGTTCTCTCTCCCAAATTGCGAACTTCACAGTGTAAAAAGGCGGTAGCGCCCATCTGTACTGTTTCATTAGACATGGTGTTGTTGTCGTTCGCTTCATTGACTCTTTGTAGATCGTCGAGATTACTGTACCAAAGTGCCCTCCAATCCGAGGGTATACTATAAGGTACTCTCCGATCTGAAAATAAAACAAAAAAAATTAAATAAATTTTCAATCATTAAAATGACAAAAAAAATTTATAATAAATTTTTTCAATTCTACTTTATTCTTTAGTCTTTTTCTCTATTAAAATTACGTTTTTAATAATAGTAGTATAATATTATTTAAATTTAATATTATATATTAATTAATGTGTAATAATATTGATTAATAATAGTAGTATAATATTATATATTAATTGATGTGTAATAATCGGTTTTAAATAATTAACTATAATAATCTTCGAATTTCATTCTTTTAGTCTGTTCACATTTTGAAGTTTATTTTTGTGTATGGTTTTTTTTTTTTTTATTTTTAAAATAATGTTTGATAAATCGAAAATATGCAGGTACTTGTTTATGATTTATAATAAAATAATATTTAAAATTTTTAAATTTTAAATAAATGAGCCAAAAAATATGTTTTAATTAAACTTAAATATGTTTGACTGTATAGCAAAGATATTTTAGCGAAGATATTTCAAGTGTGATTTAAATAAAATTTGTCTGAATCAAATAATTCTTCTTCTCAGTGAAAATGTAATTGTGTCAGAAAAATGGGAATTTAATTTCTGTAATAAAGTAATGATAATATTAAATTCGTCCTAGAATTTTGCGAGTGAGATTTCATTGATATAAAATGGTTATAGAAATTGTCGGCATTCTTTTTGAATTATTTTGGTTTATTTTCCCTCTTGTTGTATTAGTTGGATATTTTTCGTTTTCGCACAAAAAAACTTCCTTTTTGATCTTTTACTTAACTTTTTTTCTCTGTTTTTTTTTTGTTTTGATGAAAAACCCCTGATTCACGATTGTGATTCGAGTGCTGACAAACAATAGCAGCTTTTCTGTGACCTCATCTTAGGAACAAATAGTTGGACATCTATCAAGATATTTAGGAAGTAGCTTTCTCGAGTATTGTTTCAGTCAAAAGAAAAGACACACGACATTAGGTTTGATTTTATTTTTCTTGTTGTAGCTTTAATTAATAAAATTCGAGAAATTTTTTATTTTCTCTATTATTTTAATTTTCTTTTAGAAAATGATTTTTTGTTAACAGTTATAGACTTCTTTTTAACTTAATTTTTGACATTTAGAGTAAAAATAACAAATTTATTTCTTCCAAATTTAAGAATTTTAATTATCTGAAAATCACCTCAGTTCTAGTGGGGATTGAGACCTACACATTCCTTAGGAATAGAAAATTTTATTTTAATTTTTAAAAGAGCATTCAAATTATTATAGTTAATTTTAGTACTGCTGTGGTAAAATGTTTTAAATTTTTATGAAGAAATTTTCTTCAGAAATAGTAAAATTTATTTTTGAAATGACAATTTTTAATAGTAAATTTGACTTCTTTTAGGAGAGATTTCACAAAGTCAGAAGTAAAGTTTACTTTTTTATGAAAAAATCACTAATCCCTGTTATATTGTTTTTGAGAAAAATATTTACTAATATAATTATGTTGATAAAAAATTAGATAAAAATATAATATAAATTTGAATAGGTCGTCCTTTAAATGATTAATTTAAATGCTAAAATTTTTTTTGTGTGAATAAATCTCGGTGTTTAATGAAATGCCTACGAATAGAAGGCACCCTTTAGGAAGCAGTTATGTGTAAAAGCTAATTTTCAAGCTCGTGTCTCTATAGCTATACACAAAGTGATTTTGACTGACAATTCCTTTGTCTACTCGAAACTTGTAATACGATTGATCGGATCTAAAATTATTTTATTCTAGTCTTTCTATAAAAGAATAATAATTGTAAACGGATATTGTAAATATTGAAAAATTGTAAAAGAATTGTTTATATTTGTAAATTTTTTTGCAGGACATTTTTTTTTTGTTTTTTTGCAATGTATTTTGTTTTTATTTTTTTTTTCATTTCAAAAATTTAAGTTAGTATTTCGTTTTGATTCTTCTCATTTTAACATTGTCGTCACGAGAATTAAATTTTTGGAACGAATAAATTTCATTTAATGATCGTGTGTTTTATTTAATAACCAGAGTTTTAATTATAGTGACCTACAATTGTTTTCTCTTTAATTTTCTCTCTTCGAACTTTTTGAACGGTTTTAACTTTGTGCTTCATATTTTATTATCAAATTACGTGTCCTTTTTGATATTGGAGATTATTTCGTGGTTTATTTAAATAATTTGATGATTATTATTATTAGGAAATTATTCTTTTTTTCTCGAATATATAATTTTTTTTAGAGATGTATTATTGGATTTTTAAGAATATGAAAATTTTTCTGTGAAATCTGAACGAGTTAAAATTTTCAATTCCGTTTTTTGTAACTCAATGTGACATTCTTTTTTTGTTTTGTTTTTGCAATATGATCGATAATGCACATGTGGCGGGAATATATCTCTACACTGCCTTAAGACATATCGTTGAGCTTTCAGTTTATGCGGTTTGCATGAGAAGTGAATTCGTTTCTTGTCACTCGTGTATTATAAAGATCCTTGTTCTCTCTTACATGAAAGTTTATGTTTAAAATTATTCTTTCCTGAAAAGAACATAGTGAAACTCTTCTGTTATAAAATTGACTCATAAACAATGTTCTTTGTGAACAGACACTCTTGGATTTATATATGAAAGGAGAATTTAATTTTCTTTCTTTCATTTTTAATGGAATTCTTAAGCAATTTTTATGTACTTTTGGCATTTTACTCTTTTCTCTAAATTTTTTATTTTGTAAGATATAATTATTATTTTGTAAAGTAAAACTCGTTATTTAATTATTATTATTATTAATTAAACCATTCAATTAAATTGAATAATTCTTTTTGGAAAAAGTGGAAGAAAGTAAAAGTTCGGAAATTGGAAATCAAAAATTTTAAATAATGGAAAAAAGGCAAAAATTAGAAAGTGGTTACAATTTTTTCTAAATTCGGTGCAATTTGAAGATTTTTGGAGGAGAAATTTAAAGGAGAAAAACTTGTCAAGCGTAACTGGAAGATAATGAGAGGGAACAGTAACTGCATACATGAATCTTGTCATGAGGATAGTGTGGTGCAAATTTGAATAGTTCTAGCGCTAGTGAAAAGTTATGAGGGGGATACGAATCCAGGTGTGGTGAAAATTTGAATGACTAAAAATCTTAGACAATTGGATTCCAAAAGTTTGTCTTTATAACTTTATATAAGAAGTTGAGAATGTGTAATGAGTTTGGTGAGAAGTTTTATTAAAAAAAAGAAAGAAAGAAAGGAAAAGAATTTTTGTCCCCTTTAAATATAAAATGAAGAGAAGAGGAAGAAGAAGAAGAGAAAGAGAGAGAGAAAGATACGTTACAAAAGATGAAGGCAAGTCCATTGAACAATTGCTAAGAACTAAGGACAAGTGAAAGGGTAAATGAAGGACAAAGGAAGTCTCAAAAGAGAGAAAAAAATATTCAAGGGATGACAAGATACTTGAGACTTTGAACTTTTTGAATGCGAGTAAGCTAAGAGACAATGCAAACTTTACGGATGCTACTTTGACTATTTTTATATTCTTTGCTTATTCTTTTTGGAAATATGTTTATACATTCAGCTTAAGACAGACGAAAAATTAAAAGAAAATTTATTTATTTTCTTTACTTTCTTCTCTGTTACTACTACTTTCTCTTCTCTACTTTTCTCCCCCTCCTCTCTCTTTCTCTATCTCACTCCAAAAATAAAAAACTTGTCAATTGCAAAATAAGAAAATTGTGCTCTATATTTGAATTAGTAAATTTTACTATTAATTAATCACTAATTCAAAAAAATAAGTAAATTTTAATGATAAAAATTATTATTTTTCAAAATAAGAATTAGTTAATTTTATTAATAAATAGTAATTTCTACTAATTTATTAGTAAAATTTACTAATTTTTTTGAATTATTGGCTAACTGATAGTAAAATTTACTAATTTAAATTTAGAAAGAGAAATATTCTGAATTGCATCTAATACCACTTAATAAAATGTGTTACAATAACAATTTTTATTATCTAGTTTTTAATTTTAAAAAGATTTAAAAAATATATAAAATTTTTTCTTAAGAATTAAATTTTAAAAATTTTATTTTAAATTCTGAAGAATATTTCTTAATTTCTTAAGTTTCTGAAATATTCGAATTGTATTTTTTAAAATGAAGCTGAAACTGGTACCCATCCTACTTTATTTTGCCAAATTTTAATACTAAAATATTCTTTTTATTCAAAATCAACTTAAAATTTTGAAAAAATTTACTGTGTGCCAGTTTCAGCTTCATTTTTTTAAAAGATAATTAAATTTTTATAAACAAGTAAGAAGTAATTAACATTTTTGAAATACCTAATTGAATTTTTTAAAATTCTATTAAAAACAATTGAAATTTTTAAAATTTTCTAAAATTCTATTAAGAGTAATTAAATTTTTAAATAATTTAAGTTTTTAAATGAAAAATTTACAAAAATCGTCACTTTTTCTAAGTTAGGTTTTTTTGTTTTGTAAAAAAAAGAAAATTTTTACTTTCTGTAAACTTTGGAAAAATTTTAGTCTTTTGAAACTTTAAAATCATATAAAATTATTTTTTTTAGAGTTTTTAAACTTAGAATTTTTTTTATACAAGGTGTAAAATTTAAACAATTTATAGTTTAATTTGTTGACATATACCAAGACGTGAAACAGTTTTTGAAAATTTTTCGAATCAAAATAGTTTTGAATTTTTAAGCAGGAACTGTTAGTTATTTTTTGAAGAAAAATTTGTTAAAAAAATGTAGATTGGAATTATTTTTAATTTTTTTTTTGCTTTGAGTATAGTGACAAAAAGAATTTTTTTTTATTCTATTTAGAAAATTGTCAGTTTTTTAGCATTTTTTTCCAGATTTTTTAATAGCAAATTTTACTATTTTCACAGTTGATTTTTTATTAAATTTTTAAAAATTTAATTTAAATTTCCTTCAAACGTGGTATAATTTGTTATTAAATATTATTATTAGCAGAATAAATTTGTAGAGTAAATTGTACTGA